ACACACATACACACACACACACACGTGTGCCCCACTGTTGTCCACTTGCTGCTAAACCTTTGATTGAAACAAATTTCCAATATAACCGAATGACGGATGCGACGAAAAGCGACATTTTGTTTTCCCCTCCCGCCCTCGGCTACACCATTCCGTCCGTTTCACATCCTTTGGCTGTACTCCTTGTCTCTTTGTCCACCTTTGGCTGGTGCGCCAAAAAGTGTCACTTTTTATGAGCGATCATTTGTATTTTCCTTCTTTTTTTCCGCTTGCCCAATTCTGTTGCACCCCTTTTTGGCACTGTTATTTGTTGTCGCATGCTTTCCTCGCCCGTCTCACCTCACCGTCCTCTTGTATTAGCTATTGCTTCTGTAATTTTATGCTTTTGACAAATTCGAGTTTAAGTGGATTACTTTTTACTGTGGCAACTTCCCCACCGGGAACTCTCTGGCGAACGATTGTAGTTAATGTTCTCTTCTTGTTGCTGATGATTAATTAATTGTTTTTCCTGTTGCTTGTTTGTATCTGATTTTCTCCGAGACATTTGTAGCGCAATTAATTTTCATTTGCATTTGTCCGTGCGAGAAATGTAAGCGTGAAAAAGACTAGTGAAATAAACTGGACTTTTATTTGCAATTTGTGGGATTTGTTATATAAAAAAAGGCACATAGGAAAATGTTTGGCTTTCCATCTTGTATTTCGTGAATCTACTTTATATTTAAAGCTGATTGTCGAAACTGTTCATAGATCTTATCCTTAATCCATTCCTTGCTGTGTGGCACATAGCTTCCTGTGCTCTTCTTATACACCAGGCAGCTTATGTCCACGAAGGAATCGATGAAATCAAACAGTTGTATGATATCATAGGTAATCGTCGGCAATTCGGGCATGCTACGCTTCAGATGCTCCTCATAAATCTTGCAGACCGCATCGAGGCATTTCTGGGTGCTGTTATATTCGGTATAGGTGCGCGTCCTTGGATTTTTCTTCGGGTGCACCAGCAATATCGTACGAGACATGGTCAGGAATAACTATGAAAAGAAATACTTAGCAACATAAATATATTTATTCTTATGAGAAAGCGGGATAGTACGCACCTTCTTAATAATTGTAAGTAAAATTTAAAAGTAATACCCGTTTAAAATTGCAACTGAATTGACATGAATGCAAAAGCCTGCTCTGATATTCTTATTACTTCCAAATTAAGCAGAGCTGGCAATCTTTCCTACCTTTGAAATATTTGTTAAGAAAATATTTTATGCTATAATGTAGTTTTTTGTTCTCTATTCTATTAATGCAATTCGGAATACAGCATCAGCAACCTGCTTTTCTGTTAGCATATTGATGAGTTTCATAAGCTAATTCTAAGTTTGACATATTTGAGAGAAGATTTCTAATGCAAACATGGCAGTTCTTACCTTTGATTCTCTTTTTCAGGCCAATTAATAAGGAGATAAATTATTTTGTATAATATCTCTATGATCGTTTTTATATATATTATATTCTTTTTATATATTTTGCACAATATATCATCAACACTTCTTACATATATTCAAATATTGAACCTTCATTTCTTTTACCTCAGTATACCATTCAGCTGGATTAGCTAATTTACTTTTAAACTCATGCCAGCAACATATTTGATTGTAGAAAAAACAACAAAAACTGTATTTGGAAGAAATACGTTATTTCCTCCAAAATGATTTTAAAACTTTCGTTTTATAAATTTCTAACAAAAGTTTTAAGATTTTCCGATCAATTGCACACCGAAACTGAAATAATTTTGCGCTAAACTGTACTTGAGTTGATTTTATTTTCCGAGTGGGCGTGGCCAGCTTTACAGTTTGCCGAAAATTGTCCCATGCGAACAATTAGAGGCAAGGGTTTTAACATCTTAAACACGTGCGTGCGCTTTCAATTTCATTTCCGGCTGTGCCAGGGTGACCCAGCACCCAGCTCCTTCCATAATATACTTGAGTATGAAGCTCATAAAAGATTTAAGTGTCGCTGCCATTACAAATGCAATTTGCAAAAAACTTTTGATTTCGGCAGGACACCCCAGGCACAGAATCTGGCTCTGGGTCTGGGGCTGGGCCACAGGCTTTTATTGGACTCATTAAACGAAAATGTTTGCGACTGAAGCGAGCTCAAGTTGGGCTTTCGCTGAGTTCCTCGAGCTCTTCGAGTTCGCCGAGCTGTAGCTGAGTTTAGTCTCGCTTTCGATTTCTCGTTCCTCTATGGACGCTCTGGCATTGGCAAGTCAACTCACGTTTCGCTACCTTTTCAAAAAGGTGCTCGGCGTTGATTTTAGAAAGTTTCTTCTTTTCCTATTTTCTTGTTTTTTTTTGTGTTTCTGGGACGCAACCGAGGCTCGAGTGAGGCCAAAGATTTGAATGGTTTCTCACTTGACATTTTTGTTGAAGTGCTTGTTGGTTGCCGCGTTGCGGCCAGCAACGTGATTCGATTTCAATTCGTTTTGGTTACTTGGCCGCCGCCAAAGACTTTGATATACAACTTTGCAATTAAGCTGGCAATGAAGCGCAAAGCGGCCCCGACCACCCAGATTGGCGAAGTTTGACGTGAGTTTGCAGCACTTTGCCAACTGACTGACAAATCAAATTAAATTTTGCCAAATTATTTGTAATTTGTCGAAAGATAGTCGAGGGTAAGCGAGAGAGGGCGAGTGTCTAAGTGGGAGGCACATTTGCTTTATATTCATATTCATTCGAGATTCAATTCAATTTTCACAAATTATTTGCTTGGTTAGTTTTGTGGCTTCCACAGAATTGTTTGGCTCCGCAACTCAAGAGCACAGACACACACACACACACACACACACACACACACACAAACACACGCATGCACGCACATGTGTGCTGCCAGAGGCTTCCTCTTCATTATCTGTGAGGCATTCGGGTAACCATAAAATGGTTGCTCCGTTACCCCGGCCAAAGAGACACTCGTGCAAACTATGCACGAGCAGCTCAACTCTGGCCACAATGCTTGAGTTTTGGTATTGAGTTTCCTTTATGACAGCCCATAGAATTGTAATTGAATTGTTGGGCTCAAAATGACGATAACAATTTGGCTTTAACACAAAGAATGAAATCTGTCACTCTGATATGGGCTATACTCATTAGCAATGGGAAATGCTATTGAAAAGTTGTTCAACTTTTTTAGTAATTGTATTCAAATTATAAGATGCCATGTGCTCTTCATGATAATTTCATATTAATAGATATTCCGAACTTTACTTTGGAAATGCAATTTGCAAAATTTGATGTTGCCCATCGATAGCTTTATATATAAGTATATATATTTCCTACGAAGTAAAGGGTAGCACACAGTCGAGCGCTTTTATCCTTTTTGCTTCAATATATATTTTGTTATAACTTGATATCTTTTGTCAAATATGGAAACTAATGAAGATAAATATAGCTTGGATTCATTAGGCTTTATTTGCAGCAGCCAAAAGCAACTGCCGACAGTTAAGAAATTCGAAAGCTATCGATGGGAATAATACAAATTTGAATTCCCAACTTAAATTTTGGTCGGTTCAATAAATGTGTAAGCAAAATTTCTATATCAATTAAATTAAATTAAACTATTTTTTTCCAAGCTAATGAACACAGAGCTTAATTGCGTTTATGCTAAAATAGTTATTGGAAAACTCAGCAAATAGAAATAAAGTATTTGTTAATATTGATCATAAAGTTCATTTCAAACAGATTTAAATAGTTTAAAGATTTAATGCAATGATCCCAAGGCATCAATTTAAATCCCTCAATGCGAGATACAATCAAAACTGAATATTCTTGCTGCAAAAGTGACACAAATTCATAATCAGCAGCTTTTTGTGGCATGTCAAATTCTTTAAATCGAAAATCGATTGTCATTCGTGGGCTTTGTGGCAAATGTTCAGCGCTTTCTGAGCGATTAGGTGCCACATGAAGAGCAAAAATTTGTGTGGCATGTGTGTCGATGCCGATAAGAACATGATAATGATGTCTAAGTCGCGCAATCCAATAATGAAAATTAATTTCACACAGACGGGCAGACGGGCGGACGGACGGACAGAGAGAGTGGGAAGTGGGAGAGAGAGGCGCGAGTGTGGCATGTGCTGCTACCCACATGGCCCTAAAGCAATTTATGCCAATTTTCACACACACGCACACACATACTAATGCAGAGAGACAGACACAGTCATGCCTGAAATATTTTTGACACCTGCAGAATTCCTATTGACAGCTGCGCCGCAGCGGCAGAGGCTTCAAAATACGCGTTTGAATTCGAAGCGTTTAGCATTTTGTTGGTTTTAGGCTGTATGCGTGTGTGTGTGTGTGTGTGTGCGTGTGTGTGTTTATTGGTGTGTGTGCATGCGAGCCGCAGGCTTAGCGTGTGCGTTCGTGTGCGTGGCATACGTGAAATTTTTGACAGTTATTTTAATGAAATTATGCAAGCGCACTTTCACACATTCAACACCAAAGGATCCCCCAGGTGAGAGCTCCGAGCTCCAAGTTGTGGTTGCACTTGTTGTTGTTGTTGTTGTTATTGCGGCGACGTGTAAGGGGCTGTGGCGTCACGTATGTGGGTTAATTATATGCATTGGCAACACAATAACATGGCATTCAAAATTTTGGTTATTTAATTAGCTGTTTGCAGTTGGACTTGGTAATCAGTTTGAATTATAACATTGCTAATTTTCAGAGCTTGCTGAAAATGTTTGGATAAAGCGCAAACATTTTATTTATTTCTAACCTTTTTTCATGCTCTGATAAACGTGATAGGAGAATATTAAAATAAATCAACAAACAGGCTCAGCGAAGTCCTACAAATTGTACAACTCACATATTATTTGCACTTGTAAATAGAATTTCATGTTCAAGTGCTTTAAAAAGTTGTTGTCGCTATTTCTATTTTTATTTTCTGATTATACTTTAGTTCCTTGTGGAACTTTTTTTTTTCTGTTTTGGGGTACATTTGTGTCATCGTCGCCTCGTCAGCGTCTGGAGCTTCAACTCGAAACTCCCAAGTGGCTAAGCAGCCCTCGAAAAATGTCGCATTCGCTGGCCCTGGACATGGACCTGCTGACAGCAGCATTCGAGCTGAAAGTACTCTTCAGCTTCACAATCACATTCACATCCGCAGAAGCCGGGGCAGGATCACACAATGAGCTGGAATGGGAGCGCGGGCTGGGGTAGCTGGCGCTGGGCACGTGTTGAGTGCGCACAAAAGTATGCTATGGAGCATACGAGCAATCTTTTATTTGATACGTTTTTGATTTGAGAACTAAAAGTCGCCGCAGCAGACAATGTCAATGTGTGCTCCCCACATCCCAAGCCAAACCCATCCGCCCAACAAACCCAAATTGCTATCGAAAACAATGACAGAAACACCCCGAGGACTACATGAGGGGCAAGAGAGGGAGCAAAAGAGTGAGAGACTGAGCAGCAGTTGACTGCGCCCAGTCTCAAGTGCAGCATGACACGTGAGTTTTTTTTTTTTTTTTGTCAAACACATACCTTGCCCCAACACACACCCCGCTCTGTGCTGGCGGGCTAGGTGTATGTTTTTGGTAATTTGATTTTCAGATTTTTCTCTGATTTGTCAGAGACGCCAAGTTAACGCTACATTTGACGCCATTGGCCAAGACAAAAAAATAAAAATAAAAATAGAAAAGTTGATAAAAAAAAAGAAGAAATGGAAACGGAAACGTGTGCTGAATTTTCAAATGCAAATGCCGCTCGCCCGCACTTCTGTTTATCGTTTTGCATGTTGTTTGCGCTCTAATAGAAAATCTTTTCGATTTGATTTTCACACAATAATTGAGCAGGCCGCACGGCAACAGAAAGCGCCAATTTGTGTCACATCAGCTTTTGCCAAGTTGTAAACGTAAAATATACATATATAGAAGAAGAAAAGAAAAAAAAGAAAAATAGGTGGCAACTGCCACGCCTCCAATACGCGCCCCTGCAGCCAATTGCAATATGGCGTCGCTCTGATGAGGCACTCGCCGTTAAATTTACTGTCACACAAATTTTTGTTTCACTTTGCAGTTGTTGTTTTGTTGTTGTTGTTGTTGTTGTTGTTGTTGTTGTTGCGCACGTATTTGTCGTTTCCATTACAGTTTGTGCTGATTTTGATTTGCTGCCCTGGCTGCCAGCTACATAGATGCCACTCCACCCCCTTCCCTGCACCCCCTGGGCAACTGCCTGTCATTCAATCTCAAATTCACTCAATCAGTCAGTGCGTCGGTCCGTCGGTCCGCCTGTCCGTCAGCCTGGTTGGCAGGCTGGCAGTTTCAGTTAGTCATTGCGTCAACACTTTGCCGGTGCAAGAGGCGTGCCGCACACACCCTCTCACCCTCAGACCCTTACCCACCCACATATATATACACACACACACACACACACACACACACAGTCACTCTTTGGTTATACACATGTTGTTGGAGTCACGTTTATTGTTGGCAATTTTTTCGCCGCTGCTGTTGCCTTTTCCATTGCCGACTTATGACTTTTGTGCGCGCATAGGCAATTTCTATGCAGCCCCAGCTCCAGCCCCTGACACGCCCCCATCCCCACACCACCCACTTTCAGCACGGTGCCTGCTTTGGCACGTGTGTGGGCGTGTTGCGTGGGACGCATTTGTCATACTCGAATTTAAAATTCAATTTACTTGCGTCATAAATTTAATAGCCTAGCTGGCAAAATCGGTTCAGTTGATTTGGGCCATGTGCCCATCTGGCCAAAAAGAGGTTTCTGAATCTATATATTGTGTATATATAAACATACATATTTTTATTGCGCAACGGCAGCTGTTTTTTAATCTAGTTCTATGTATATGAATAGCGGGCATTGTCCAGTACATCACAAATTTGGCCATCATGCGTCTGGTCCCGAAACCAACATATTCTTGATTTTCTTTTCTTATATTGAAGATTTTAAGTATTGCTATTGTTTCCACACACAAGAGGCAAATCGGCAGTTCACTGCTAAAAAACGAAATCATTACAACAAATTAACATTTGTATAATTTTTAGAAAAATAAATTAGTATAGTCATAATTGAGTACATCACTATTTTGGCAAAAAACGAAAATGAGCCTTTATTTGGCCAAAATATGTTTTTTACATTTATTCCAAATTTGATCATTGCAGAAGGCGGCGACCTATATAAATAATTGCAGTACACCCAAAAAGCAGTGCATACTTTTGTGCTACGCGCAAAAGAACTTCTAGAAAATCGCATAGCATACTTTTGGGCATGGCATTTCTGCAACACTTAAGTTTTAATAATATTAAACTTCGAATAACTTCGAAAAACTGATGTCCTTTGGACAATATGTAGTCCTTATCCTGCCAACTAAGAACATGTAATTAAAAGGACGAAAATGCATCAAGGAGCTGAGGGAAAGTGAATTCTGTCGGCAGAGATAAAAGGGTGTAGCTCGGCCGTATCCTTGCCGATCATGATGTCCTTTGGTCAATCGTTAGGCCTCACCCTCCCAATTTAGAATATATAATAAAAAGGACAATAGTCCTTTAGACACCATAGATATGAGTACAAATCTTTCGTAAATTAACAAAGCAATAACTCGGTCGTATCCTTGCAGATCCTGGCAAGTCCTGTGTCAAACGAACCGTATGAACAAGGACTTCAAACTGCCCAAAGGACATCAAAATCGTCCTTACCGTTTCTTAGATATGGCCAATTTTCTAAAAAGGACATTTTTCAATTAGCCATAACTCGGCCAAATCCTTAAGGATATCGGAAGGATATACCTTGTCGAACTCGTGGAGAGGAGGACTATCGATTGGCATTCAAGGATTTCCAAGATTCGACAAAAAATTTCACCAAAATATTTCATAGGGGGTAGGTCGCAAAAATGGCAAAAGTCGAAAAAATCAGGACTAACTTGGCCATTTGAAGGACTATCGGGATGTCCTTTGGACTGTAGATAGTGCTCGACCTCCCATTTAAGAAAAAACAACAAAAAGGACGAAAGTCCTTCAAACGGCGAAGTTTTAAGGACGAATTTCGTAAGACAAAATAGGCCATAACTCGGCAATATCCTGGCGTATCCTGACAAGTTCTATGTCAAAAAAATTGTATCGACTAGGACTACCAACTGGCCAAGTTTCATTAAGATCGTCCTTGTAGTTTTAGAGATATTCAAGGATTTGTGTTTTCGGGCCATTTCCGTGCGCTCCGGGATGAAAATTTCACAAGTAAAAACACAAGTCCCGGGGTTCTTAGATGACCCCATACTTTTTTGATGCAGATCGATGCGGGGGGTCTATGCGATCCTAACGCACCATATCCTTTGAAAATCTGCAAGGATATGGCCGAGTTATGTCCTTTTTTCCTTGCATAAAATGCCTTTATATATTTTTTGCCTTATTTAATTTAAATGTGTTTTTATCTTTTCAGATTGCCAAATTAAGGACCATAATGACCTCTAAGGACCTCTAAGGACCTCCACGCAAAATTTTCCAGGATCGGACTTTAATTAAGCCAGATATACTTATTTTAAGTTCAAATAAGCATAAATTATAATTTATTCACGTTTTTATAATTTTAAAAGCAATAATTAAGAAAATTAGCATAAAAACAACAATTTTGTATATTTAAACATAAATAAACCAATTATTTTAAATATAAACGAAATTCCTGTGTTTTTATTTAAAAATTCAATTTCATTGCATACCCCCAAGGGCGTTTGTTGAAAACCGCTGGCTGCCGAGATTTTTCTTAAAATCTGCAGAAATACCAGGCGAACAGAAGTGCGCAGAAGGTCGACAAAAAATATTTTTAGCTGCCGAAAAAATTTCATTGCATACCCAAACGGGGCGCCCTGGTCAGCGGCTGTGCCCCAAATTTGCCCTAAAATTCCACTGAAATACCAGGCGAACAGAAATGCCCAGGAGGTCGACGAGTGGTTTGAATAAAAATTTTCGTTGCATAGCATTAAGGGGCAAAAATGTAACTCAATTGAAATGAGTGCTGTTAAATAGCAGTTTATGTAAAATGAGTGGCTGTAAGCCGGCTGTTAAGCAACAGCTGCAGCTGCAGCTAATGTAAAAGGGCTCCTGAAAGAAAAAGCATACATGTTTTTGGACCATTTCAATGCACATTTTGCAGGGATCTGGTCCTTTAGGTTCGCAAGGACTATATCGATGGTATGGTATAACCAAGGATATGGTAGTCAACTAGAAACCATCCAGGGGCGGGGGATACCTGTAAAAAAAATAGCATACATATTTTTGGACCCTGTTCCTACGCATTTTGCAAGAACTTGGTCCTTTAGGTTCGCTAGGACTACATCCATGGTATGGAATAATCAAGGATATATAGGTCAACTAGGTACCATGAATAGCAAATGCTTGCTGACTAAATGTTGTCCATGTCCATCCGCAGGTCAGCGGCGAAGTTATGTCGCCTTAAGACCGCGTATCTGTTGGGGGCGACGGCCAGCAATCCGGCGCCAACGTCAAAGATGAAGCGGCCGAGTACCATAAGCCAGAAGGTGTAGATAATGGCGCTGCTGGCAAAGATTAGCTGACCCACCAGCAATCTGTACAGGCGATCGATCACAAAGCCGCCCAGAAAGTACAGCGTCGCACTGGGCCCCGAGTAGATGAAATAGATGAGCGTAAATTTGTTAAAATTGTTTGGTTGTCCATGAATGTTGACAGGTTAGGCTGAAAAATATCCAATAAAAAATATATTACACCGGTTTAATTACGTCCGACTGTGGAGAGACATACCTTTAAAATTGATAGAATTCCAAATGTTGACTTGAGAATCGACGCAGATTGGCAACAATTTCAATATAGCCATTGTTACTTTGGTCAATGTTAAAAACACGGTTGTAAAAGGTATAACCAAGGTCCGTTCAGGTACCAACGTTATTGAATGTTTCCTTGTCCATGGCAGTTTTAGCTGCAATATTAAAAAAATTAAATAGTATTTTGTAAGCTTTTAATGTCGATTAAATTAAGTCAGACATCGGAAGGGTGTACCTTTTAGAGTTCGTGAAAGCCTTCAAAATCGACAGAGCACTAAGAAATTTTTATTCCAGAACCGAAAAGAAAAAGAATTTAGCAACCATTTTAATTTTCTCAATATGGACGAGAATTTTCCCTTATAACATTTGCAATGAGTTTCACTCGAATGCTGCCCAAAGTCGGCGCCCAGCAAACTCAGCGAGCAATCCACAAACTCGAGTGAGTGCCGATCAAAGCAAGATAACGCACAAGCCAACATAAGTAGATATGAGTGACAAAAACACACACACAAGCATATGCATGCAGAGATAATCGCTTAATATATGCATGTATATGTGTATATGATTGCTTGTGCATTATCTTCTTTTTCATCTCGCTCTCACCTTTTTTTTGTGCGATGTGAGAAAAAAAAACACTAACACTCGTGAAAGTCTGTAAGATCGATGGACTTCTTTAAAATTTGGTTGCATTTTTGTCAAACTTTAAAACGAGATGTTTTTAATGATTTTTACTATATTAAAACAATTTAACTTGACTGCTGCCATTTAACTTTCACAAAATCACGTTGCAGAGACGAAAAGTGGACAAAATTCGGCGAGCAGCAACTCGAGTAGGCGCCGATCAAAGCAAGATAACGCACAAGCCAGCACAAGCAGACATGAATTGCGAAAACACACACACACACATACATATGTAAGTAGAGAGAATCGCAAAATATATGCATACATACGTATGTATGTGTATATGATTGCTTGTGCATTATCTTCTTATTCACCGCGTTCACGCATTTTTTGCGAATTGAGAAGGAAATTACAATAAAATAAACACTTGAGCACTTGTGAAAGTCTATAAAATCGACGGACTTCTTCAAGTTTTGATTGCTTTTTTGTCGAACTTTAGAATGCCATTTTTTTATTGCTATTATTACTTCCGACCAGTACATGTCCGAAAACGTATACCATTAGAGGTATGGATATCACTTTTTTTACTTATAGTTTCTTTTAAAACAACTTAACTTGACTGCTGCCATTTAACTTTCACAAAATCACGTTGCAGAGACGAAAAGTGGACAAAATTCGGCGAGCAGCAACTCGAGTAAGCGCCGATCAAAGCAAGATAACGCACAAGCCAGCACAAGCAGATATGAATTGCGAAAACACACACACAAACATATGTACGCAGAGAGAATCGCAAAATATATGCATACATACGTATGTATGTGTATATGATTGCTTGTGCATTATCTTCTTATTCACCGCGTTCACGCATTTTTTGCGAATTGAGAAGGAAATTACAATAAAATAAACACTTGAGTCTATAAAATCGACGGACTTCTTCAAATTTTGATTCATTTTTTCTCGTACTTTAGAATGTCATTTTTTTATTGCTATTATTACTTCCGACCTGTAGATGTCCGAAAGCGTATACCATTAGAGATATGGATCACTTTTTTTACTTATAGTTTCTTTTAAAACAACTTAACTTGACTGCTGCCATTTAACTTACACAAAATCACGTTGCGGCGACGAAAAGTGGACAAAAGTCGGCGAACAGAAACGCGAGTGAGCGCCGATCAAAGCTAGATAACGCACAAGCCAGCATACACAAGCATAAGTATATATCAATTGTAAAAAACACACACACCCGAACATACATATGCATGCAGAGAGAACCGCTAATTATGTACATACAAACGTATGTGTATATTATCTTCTTATTCACCGCTCTCACTAATATTTGGCGAATTGAGGAGGAAATTACAATATATAGACACTTTAACATAAGAGAAAGTCTATAAAATCGATGTACTTCTTTAATATTGTTGGTTCCATTTTTGTCAAACATTAAAATGGGATTTTGTTAATATATTAAAGCACTTTAACTTGGCTGCTACCATTTAACTTACACGAAATCACGTTGCGCGGACGAAAAGTGGACAACTCGAGTGATCAAAGCAAGATAACGCACAAGCCAGCACAAGCAGACATGAATTGCGAAAACACACACACACACAAACATATGTGTGCAGAGAGAATCGCAAAATATATGCATACATACGTATGTATGTGTATATGATTGCTTGTGCATTATCTTCTTATTCACCGCGTTCACTCATTTTTGCGAAGTGTGAAGGGAATTACAATAAAATAAAAACTTTACTTATGACAGTCTATAAAATCGATGGACTTCTTTAGAATATGATTTTGTTATGGTTATTAATACTTCCGACCCGTTTAACTTGCACGCGCGCAACACAACAACATGCCATATTGACTAATAGGGCCACACTGACACAGCGTAAAGTTGCGCAGATTCATAAAAGCAGCGCTCAGAGAGAAGAGCGATCGAACGACCAGATGAGTACATCACTGGCGGCAGTTATTGATTGGACCAATCAGCGATCGGCACCAAAGATAATCGTGAGCGCGTGAGCGTAAGTAGAAAAACGACAGCGAACACACACACGAACAGCTGACTGCTTATCTCTGGCCTTGGCTCATCTCTGCGCATACACGTGTTTGTGTGGGTGTATATTCTAAGCAGCGTGGCGTTTTGTTCACACTCGAATTTTAATCGCTTGCTTAATTTCTGGGCGCCGGTTTTTTCGTCCGCTAAAGTCACTCACAATTTAACACTCTGTTAATTTGAGCTCAATATTTAATGTGAGCATGTGTTCATTAGGAGCTGCTGAGTCGGGTCAGTCCGAAAGGTTATAATACATATTTTATTTAGCTAATTTCAAAGCTGCTTTCTTAAGAATTGGATTAAACAAAAAAGAAGAATTGTACTACCATTAAAAATGGGTATAAGGGTATATTGTATTTGTGCAAAATCCAAATGTATGTAACAGGCAGAAGGAAGCATCTCCGACCTCATAAAGTATATATATTCGTTTAGAAAGAAGCTCAGACATCTTCAAATAAATTATTATTTCTTGTACAAAAAGATATTTTATATTTTCCTGTCGTTTGGAGCAACAGCTCTTCAGCTTTTTTGACTAAACTTAATAACTCAGAGGGCACATTTATTTGTATCTGTATCTTTATCTGCACTTTGTCTCTTCTTTGGCAAATTTTCAACGACAGCTGCAATGCTAATTGCTGAGCTTGTTAGACATATGAAAGACTTTAATTCCAAACCGATTTATGAGTGTGTGTGTGTGAATTTTGTGCTAAACAAAAGTGCGCCAATTAGTAGGAAAATGTAGTTTTTAAGCTCTCACAATTCCACACACACACACACGCACACACACGAGTCACAACTAAATGTGCGCCTAACCGCAAATGCCAGGAAAGTTGATTTCTTAACAACTCCGAGAAAGGAGACCACACAACCGCAAAAATGTCAGAGCGTCAGGCAAACAGGCGCTGAATATGGGCAACAATTTTAAGCTCGAGCCTGGGACACCCAAAAAAAGTTCAGTGAGAAGACCACAGTTTTAAGCCCAAATAAGTTGAAGGTGTGTGCAAGTATGTGTGTGTGTGTGTGTGTGTGTGTGTGTGTGTGAGTGTGTTGTCTGCTTGTTGTCTCTATTTTGCGGCACATTTGGCCTGGAAGCTCATCTGCAAATCCACACACTCACACACGCTCTAACACACATCTGACATGGCTATGAAAAAGATGAATGCATTTCATATAAACACTGCACACAGACAGCTTGCCTTCGTTCGGGTCGCATCATTTAATCATAGATTACGAACTAGTACTGCAAATTTAATATAAGTTTGCTTCTCCAATATCAGAGAGCCCTTGCTAATTTGCCAAATCTGAGAATCTATAGTCTTTCTTTAAAATATATAAATTAATAGAGGAAATAATGCTATAAGAAAGTGTATTAAAAGTTCGTCAGGTCAATTACATAATTTTCCTGTACTTTACTTAAAACTTTGTGGCTTGTTAGAGAGTTCGAATGTGTGTGTGTGTGTGTGTGCGTGTGTGTGTGTGTGTGTTTGGGCTGGGACTGGGAGAATTCTGATTTGCGCTTGTCACGCTGAAAATTAAACTAAGTCCATTTTAATTGAGTTTTTCAGCATGTGACATCCATGGAGGCATAAAAGAATACAATTTTTTAGTTATTTGTCAAACAAGCATTTGATTTTATTTCAACTTGCACTCGCAAACGCATTTCCACTCGCACAATTCACAATTTACAATTCGTTATGCAGGCAATTTGGCAACATTGTCGCAAATGAATTGTGAATGAAATGCAAATTTGTGTGGTGCAATTTAATGGTCACACAACAAATCGAATAAGAGACCATGACAAATTTAATTCCACACTTGTATTTCCAATTTTCCAATTTGTTTTTCGCCCAAAATAAAAGAAAAAGCGAGATACTTGAAATTGCGACAAAGTTTTCTGCGTTATCAAAGGCAGATATTTACCGCAAGAACCCCGGCTGCTCAGAATGTTTTTATTTTTGTTTTTCTTTTTATTTTTCTCACCGCATTTTCTTATTTTTGTTTTTGACTTTTTCTGCGTAATCAGGCTACGGGGGCAACGAAATAAGTTTTACTGCTAAAAAAAAAAAAAATAAATAAAATTTGTGTTTAAAAATGTTAAACAGGAAACGAGCGAAGCGTGCAGTTGTTGCCAGTATTGGAAAACACCCAAAGGCAGTGGAAGGGCAAGGGAAGGCGCGGTTGTGGCCTGCACATAATTTAAATCCGATTAGACGGCTTTGAACGGATGTGGTTTAGTTTGATGAAATGTTTTGCGGTGCTTGACAATATGAAAAGCTTCCGATTACTTCAGATAATAATGCACGACTTAGGGATACCCTATATGCGCCGAGGATCTTAAGCATACAAAATGTGAGGAAATATATCCGTAGAAATAGTTATAGACGCTCTCCTATATTTACCATACATTTCAACAAAAATAAAAAAAATACATCAATTAATATAATAAATAGTCAAATTAAAAAAAAAAGGATTAAAAAAAGAGCCTCGAACTCATGCTCAGCATTTACACAATGTAATCACAACTCGTACAGTTTCAAATAAAATGTGGGATACTTTTTGGCCCTTTTGGCCGCAACAACTATTCAACTATTCATAGAACTCCCGACAGCGGCGCCCAACTGCATTTATCCAAATCAATATGCAATTTTTACAGTATCCACAGGTAACTGATTTCAAAACTGGCAGCACAAAATGCCAGTCATAAGTGCGGCAGAAGCCACATAACAAATTCTTGTGTGTGCTTGTGTGCATGTGTGTCTTGTTCTATAGAAACAACTGAGCCATAAAAAGCGCAAAACTGGGTTAGCTGTCGAGATTTCCCAACACTGCGACAACAACAACAACAGCAGCAGCAGCAACAATCAGTCGAGGAATATACGGGAACAGGAACATTGACAGCCCATACCCATCAGAGACTGAGCATTTGGGATTGGCAATGCATTTCGAATTGAGCGGGCAAAAAAAAAAAAAAAAAGAAAGAAAATTGAAAAAAAAAGAAGAAAAAGACAAGTTAAAAACTCACGAACTGAAGCTGAACGCTGGCAGCCAAGCGAAATGGCGGCCAATGCAAGCCGACGCTGTCACGCCCACCGCTCACAGCCCAACGCCCAGCATATATGTCAAGTGAACTGGAAGTGATATGGCATAGCGCAGCAGGACGAGCCTGAAAGCGAAGGACGAGCGTGTTCACGTGCAAAATTGCAGCTATTCCCAAACGGTTGCCAACCTTCTTCTTTTTTACTGCTGCCGCTCAAAATCGAATTCACTTTGTGTGCGTGTGTGTGTGTGTGTGCGTGCGTTATTTGAGCGCCATTTTGAGCGTGATCGATGGCTGCTGGCAGGACATGCAGCAGGCGGCAGCCAATGGGCCTCGATTTTAATCAGCAACTGAAAGCCGATCGGAGCCGAGCCCGACAATGACAACGAGTGATATGCTTGCGGCTTTGCTTTGCCCTGTTCCAGGCATTTATCTCATGCACACACACACACATATGCAGCTGTTCATGCACTTGTACTTCCACTTCCGCTTCCGCTTAATGGCGGCGCAAAGAAACATTGGACGCGGCCCATCTTCAAACTCAGCTGGTTGGCAAACGGTGGCTCAGACACACCGCTGATTGTTTGCCCCACGTTGCAATGCCACTAAATTGTTTGTGCGTGCGTGCGTGTGTGTGTGTGTGTGTGTGTGTGCGTGCAATGCCATTAACAATACGCCCAATGCCAAACTGGCAAACGCGCCAAAGCCATTGTTATTTCGGCGGTCGATTGTTGTTCTTCCGGCTTGCGTGAGCTTACCCAAACCCAGACCCCAATCCCTGCTCCCGCTCCAGCGCCAGCGCCAGCGCCAGCCTCATCCGCTGCCACAAATTGTGCAAACAAGCGTGGGAATTGGCCAGAAAGAGTGAGCGCCAGCTAAAGCTGTGCCAGCGTTAGAGCAAGAGGCAGCAGCATCGTGATGCTCTCCATGCAAAACTTGTGCCACAAATCGCTTCAATTTTGTTGCGTGTTCGGGTTTTTGGCCTTGTTGCCACTGCTGCTGTTGTTTTTGCCACTACTGTTGCTGCTGCTGCTGCTGCTGTTGTTGTTGTTGCTGCTGTTGCTCTGTTTGATTGGGAGTCTGGTCTGGTTTGAGTTGTTTTTTCAGCTCGGTTTGTTCTCAACTGCAATAATCTTATTAGCAGTTTGTTGTTCGAACCTAATCAATTACCAACGTAATTACAAACTTTGCTAATCTGCTTAGCTCACAGCGCACACAGAGCGAAAGGGAGAGAAAGAGAGTGTGTGTGAGCAGAGAAGGAGAAAGAAAGTGTGTGGCAGAAAGACCCATTTGAACCCTATGCCACGGATATTCATGAACATTTATGGCCATGATTTGTTGCAAATGCCCAGTTGGCAATTCTGTTGCTGATGGCGCGACTATTTTCCTTTTTGGCAACTCAAATTGCAATTTGCACATAAAACGGAGCGAGTGTTAACTTTGAAATTAAATAGAATTTCCCCCTTGCAAAAGAATCGAGCTAAAATTATCACGAACCTAAATATGTATCTAAATTTTTGTCTTACAGCATATTATGGCCATATGACTAGCTAAACTAGATTCGGTTGGTGAATTTAAGTGCAGATCACAAACTAATCATTGCAAGCTATAACTTAAAACTTATTCTTCTCTTCACTGGTTACGAAAGGTATTTTATATTTTCCGATCACATTTAACTAATATATTGAGTTTATTACTTACCTCTTTTTCTGTGTCATGTAAAGCAAGTGCATTAAAGGCATTTAAGGCATTTTCTAAAAGGTCAGAGGATCAAACAGATAAGTTGAATCATCAGAAGCTGCAAAAGCTTGCAAATCCTTTGGAAGTCTGCAAGGATACGACCGTTTGAGCGGCAATTTCAATAAAGACAGCCTTTTACTTACACATATTGAGAAAGTACCGAAATATTGATTGCCCGTCTCCTAGTCAAAATCAACCTGAACTTTTTGCAGCTCTCATGGTGATTCAACAGTTCAACTTCTTGTGCATTTAACGCTTATCAGAAGCCAAAAGTCCATTTGACAGGATAACGAAAATCTTCCGAGCAGCTGTTGTTGCTCTTGTTGTTCTGCCGAACCGAACGAAGCATTGCAAAAATGCCAAAAACTTTTGTCGTAATCAAAAGTAAAAATATTTGAATATGCCAAGACAAAATGAATGCCGTGTCTGCCGTATGCCTGCTCCTCTATGCCTCTGCAACATTTAGCCAGAACTCCCAAGGCCCTCATACGTTAGATTTTTGCCTTTTGCTGCCAACAGCAGCAGCAGCAGCAGCAGCAGCAGCAAACTTTTCCACGCATGATTTAAATGGAAATAAATCTTGCGTTAAGATTCGACTCGGATTTGGATTATGCAATGTGGCGGCGTCTGGCTGACTCTGTAGGGGCGTTGTATATGCGTGTGTGTGTGTCCTGGGAGGGGTAGGTGCGACAGGAGATGGATCTCAATTCGTTGGCATTTCTTTGGGGCGTTGCTGCCTCACGTTGTTGCTAAATTTGTTTACATGTTGCCGTCGTTGTCGTTTTAGTTTTGGCTGCCCCGCCCCCTTCAATGACAACCAAACACCTAACACACACACACAGACACACACGTGCGAACACACACACACACGTCCACAATTGGCATAAACTTTTTCGTATGCAAATCGCAAGTTTAGCAAAATATTTCGTTTATTGTTGAAGTTTTCTTTAGTTTTGCTCGTCAACATTTTGTACATATAATTTCTTCCTTTTTTTTGGCAGCGCAAAAGTTAGCGCAAAACTTTTGAAAGTTCCCGCTGAATTTGATAAATTGCGCTACGCCAGCGATATAAGTTCATCTTGCAGCACACATTGCATCAATTTTTTTAGAAAATAATTTCAGATTTTTTGTTGGATTTTAATATAAAAAATTTATGACACCTTTTATTGATTTAGTTCTTGTATGATGTGTATCTGAGTGGTGTATGGTGTGTGTGCGCGTGAGTGTGTGTGCGTGTGTGTGTACGTATGTGTTTGTATGTCTATTTTATACACCAATATACAATAATGCATATACATACATAATTTGTTCACTTAACTGCATTTATCACTAGATTTTTACGTTCTCGCTTTCGACTTTCGCCTTAAATCGAACTCAGCAAATTATTATTTTTCTTGTTGTTTTTTTACGCACAATTATTTGTTATACTTAATTATCTAGTTAGAACACACAGCCTTGCTTTGTTTCTCTAAAAAATTACACTTAATCCTCTAATTAATTACAATTAATTACACAACGACAGAAACGCGTAAATGTAATTTACAATTTGTATGCATTTGACGTGTCATTGAAAAAGCAATAATTAGTTGTTTTTCTCCTTTCTCTTTTTTTTTTTTTTTTAATTTAAAGCCACATTCAGATAGTTATACAAAATGCACAGTTAGAGTTACACCTATAGCTTAAGGGTATATATATATATAATATGTTATTAGCTATAATACTTAATGAAAAAATAAATTTGCTAAATAAATGATGCAGGCATACATAATTTAAAGAAATTATAAAACTACCTAAAGCCTGGATATTATTTCAGTTGTATTTAAGTTTATGTATATTGCATATATCCTGCACAAAAGGTGGCAACTCTGTAGTAAGTTTACAAAAAAAAAATTTGTTATACATTCAAATAATGTTTTAGATAGTTTTCAGTTTTACAATATATATCAGCAGACTTACTTTGGTGCTGCCACATCTTGTGCAGCACATAATCTGGCAACATCCACACTTTTAGTCCAATTGTATTCCAAAACTTTGATTTGTCAATGCTTTTGTATTACTACAAATAAACAACAAATCATGAACACACACAATTATGCTAATTATATATATTTTTGTTTTCATTTCTTAGTTCTTTTTTGTTTGTCATTTGTGTTTGTTCGTTTTGTATCTTCGTTTTATTATTTATAAAAGTTTTTTTGCTTTGCAAGCTTTATTAAAAATGGCAATATGCTGCGCTATCTTACAAATATCCTCTATATAAGGTGTTTTCTCATTGTTTTGTTTTGTTTGTTTTTTTTTTTTTGGGGTATTTTTCGTTTTTGTTTGTTTGTTTTTCTTTACAAATACAAGGCTTTTAAAATTTACACTTGTTGCGAATTTGTATGTATGACAGCAATTTGATGGGCAGCATAATATGTACAATATATATGGGACCAAAAATGCTATACAGAACGACGGCAAACAACTGAAAGAGTAACATTATCAATCGGATTGAATTGGTATTTTAGTTTATTTCGTGCTTCTCACCTTTTGACTCGTTAGCAGCATCACTTGACTTGGCCTTCGAAAAAATATGGTATAAATTAATAATATTCTAGGGCAACTTGAAGAAACGTCAACTTGGAATCTAAACGGATGAGAAAAAAAAAGAACTTGATTAGTGGGGGATATAAATTGGTAAATTTTAAATTTCGAAGTAAAACTAAAGACAACAATTTTGCGTTCATGTGCATTTTGAAACAGAAAACAAAACTTTATTTATATTAATATATATGCATGTGTTATGCGTACAAATGTATGTGTGTGTGTGTATGTGTATGTGTGTTGAGTGTGTGTAGATATTTTTACATAAACAAAACTATGCTCTACATAAATTAATGCAAAATATATATAGCTCTACTAATTAACTACAAAATGTTTAATGCGTGAAATCGAATTAACACGATGAATTTTAATTTAAGACATTTTGAAATGATTACAAAAAGTACACTGGAAAAAAGAAGTGTATAAAAAAATGAAATGTAAAAAAATTAAAAACTAAAAACTTCATTGCGATTTGTTGATTTTGTTTCTAATCTCAAGAATTACAATTTTTAATATTTTTAGTTCTATTTTTTTTATCAACAGCATTATTTGTTTTTCTTTTTTTTTCTTTTTTATTTCCTGACAATAACACTAAACAATTTTGTAGCGCATTAATTAAAATTAAAGCTAAACGAAATATATAATCATAATGATAGTAAATTAAGTATAACAAAAACATTGTTTTTTCCATTCAATACAAATAAAAAATATTGGTATTTTTTGTAGATTTTTCGTTGGTTTTGTGTTTTTTTTTAACAATTCAGTTTAAGCACTAAAACTAATAATATATACGCATCAGCATATAAAAGAAAGGTAATCCATTTAACAAAACAAAGTAATCAATATATTTTTGAATATATTATAGATAATAGAGTAGTATATTTGTTTAGTTGAGAACTTCAGATATTCAACGAAACGGTTCAAAAAGCTTGTGACTTGTGCAACATTATGAGATGAACATATGAAACAGAGACAAGTGTGGATTGTTCAAAGGAATTGGGTATTTTAAATAGTTTTCTTTTCTGTTATGTTTTGTGTGAAACTTAAGAGCTAACACTTGAAACAGATTAAATAGTATATGTAGTGTCATATTTTCGAAAAGGGGCATAAAGTGTGTACAAAAATTAATCGTTAAAAAATTGTAACTGTACGACAACAGCTTAAAAAATATAAATGTGTCGTTAAATTTGTTGCGAAAGTAACTTCAAAGCGTAACAAACAGAGAGTGTGTCGACAAAACTAAACGCTAAACTAAGGCACTAAAATTATGGGGTATCTATGTTTTGTATTTGTTTCTTGTTTTAACTTCAACATTTAATGTGCTAGGTATATATATTTGCTGTCTCTTTTTGGCACAAATTCATGTCTTTTTCATTTGGATATATATATTTTTTTATGTTTTTTATAGTTTTTCCTATTTTTTGTTTTTTTTTTTTTTAATAGGGTATACGTACAACGTAGGCTTCTTGACTTTTTGGTTTACTTTAAACGCGCGCTCCACACGGGTAACTCTTCATTGGACTACTCCATTTGACAATTTGGTATTTTATTTTCTTTTGGGGTAAACATTTCTTGTTGCTCTTTTAGCAATTGTTGTTGTTGTTGTTGTTGTTGTAGTTATTGTTCATATTAGTTGGTAAGGTTGTTCTTGCAGCTGATTCTTCGTAGTTCTCTTCTCTCTGTCTGTTTTCTTAACCACTAGTAGGGCTTGGATGCATCCTTGGGTTTCTTCAGCTGCACCTTCAAACGCTTCGTGCCCACCTGAAAGCCGTTCATGGCCTTGATGGCCATCTGTGCCGATTCCGGATTATCAAAGGAAACGAAACCAAAGCATTTCGATAGACTCGTCTGCTTATCAATGAACACCTTGGCCGAAATAACATTGCCAAATGGCAAGAAAGTTGATGCCAAATCTGTATCGGTGAACTCCTGCGGCAAATGATAGATAAACAAATTGCAGCCTTCAGGTCCTGGAATAAAGAAATAATCAAATTATGAAGGAATATTTAAAATGGATTATGGCTCACTTTAATGTAAGCACAGTTTGAATTGAATATATATAACCAGAAATGAAAAAGAATTCGTAAAATCTAGTTCCACTCACAAACATGGAATATGAGTGAAATTCTATTTTACCAAAAACCAAATGACCAAGTTTCCAGTCCCCCAGGCTGTATAAAAAATGTAAATCAAAAATTTGTTTGATTTGTTCGACCAATATTTAAGATTGATGAAATACTGATTAAAATTGCTCTCTCTGAATCTATTTAACTCGTTCCACGCGAACACCAGGAAAAAGGGGTGAAATTTATAAAAATATCACACTGCTTGAACGCAGACTTTGGCTTATCTCCTATGATTCCTATATTTAGGCTAAGTATTCTGCTCATGGAACTTCAACTACAGTATATACCAGCTAAGCTGACTGACATGAAAATTGTCTGAATTGGCATTTCCTCTAACTCCCAGCTTAAAAGTCATTTCATCTGCTGTCCACTGCTCAATCAACGGTCATTTTGGGGATCTTCAACTCGGGGACTTATCTTTGCAATGAGCAATTAATTTACCTCGCACACATGTGACCGCAGACAGACAAACACATACGCACACACACACACACACACAAGCACAAATGTAAAGTTCGTATAATGACAGCTGCTCGAATGAGCTGAAATTTGAGCAGACAAAAGCTAAAATTATATATACTTAGAGCGCCAGCAGGACGAAGGGCAGCCAGCGAGCGGCTGATTGCCAAAACGGATGCGGAAATGATGCGCCCAAGTGCCGTGCGTGTGTGCTGTCCGTGTATGCTTGTCCGTGTGTGTGTGTGGGTGTATTGCTGGAGGCGTGTCACATTTTGTTTAGCAGCACGTGCCGCCAACTGTCGCTGGCATCGCATATTAACAGTTGCGCCCTCGTCAACGGCTTCGGTCCTCGCTTGCGTCCTGCTGCGGTTTGCACTTTTCGTGCAAATTACTGCCAATGTCCGCAGCAGTAAACCAGCCCAACAGTGAGCAGTGGCAGTAACAGTAGCAGCAGCAGCAGCAGCCGCAGCGGCAGCTGCAGTCAGCAGTCGGTGTTGTTGTAGGTGCTGCTATTAGGTTTTCACTTTCGAGCAGCTGCTTTTAATGACGCTTTAAGTGGCAGTTGCCAGTTGTCAGTCGGCATTTTGCGGTCTGTCAATTTGCCAAGCAGCACTATATCAACTAATAAGCAAACAGTTGGGCAAGAACTATTCCTTTAAACAATATAAATGAGTGTCGCGAAATAGGATAATAAATTAAATTGAGGGCTATGCTTAAGGTTGTTATGCGGTAAATACAAAATTTCTTTGGGCTTCCTGTTAGGCTTTGTACTTATTATTGTAGACTTAGGCTTTGCAGCGCACACGCGTCAGTCGTGTCGTATACGTAATTAATCTGCAATGCCTGCACATCAACGCTATCATAAATGCATGGCCATGGATAATAACAACACCAACTATAGCGGCAACAACAACTATCAATTTATGTACATGGCCGCTTTGTCGCATGAGCCGCGCCCACACGAACACACACACGCCCACAAACGCACACACACACACACACAGACATACACACACACATATAAAGCTTATAATGCATGGCGCATTGTAATCAAATAACTTTGTGCGCCTCCTTCGTAGTGCTTGCTGCTGTTGGGAATGTCAACTCCATCATCGTTTGCCAGCAGCGCTATTAATAACATAGATACATCTTTTGTCATCTTTGCCGCGAGTGCAGCACACACACACATGTGCCACGCCCAACGCCCCACATTCAGTTTGATTGAATTTGCTGGCAGCAGGCAAAGGCACAAATCAAAGGACGCCGCTTTTGGCCGCCTGTTGACGAAGCAGCTCTCGCAGTGACTGATGCGATTATAAAATGAAAAGCAAATTGAGAGGCGTCTGCCCCTTACTCCACCATAAGGGTTCCCAGACGTCGGCGAGGGGGGTATGGGGGCGTGATTATTGCTCCTATATGGCCTCAAGTTATGCCTATACAAATGCTGCTTTATATGCATTAATTGACTTGGCTTGTCCTGTGTTTGTGTGTGTGCGTGTTGCCGCTTTGTTATTTTGCACACACTCTACAATTAATTTGGCTACACACACACACACACACACACACACACACATGACGTCTGGTGTGTTGGTAATTATAGAGTGTTGAATGACGCTTTAAAATGTGCTGCTACCTTATTGAATTAGGCGCCTAACGAGCGGCACGTGTGCGTCTCATGTGAAATAAAAAGAGAAAAAAAGATAAACATAAAACTCACGAGAGGACAGCACATAATTAGCAGAACTTCAATGGTTGCCAGGACAACAGAAGGTGGAGCGAGGCAAGCATATTTGCTTGTTAACGCATTTAATGTTGATTTAATTTATGTTTTGTCCAGCAAACTTTTAAGGGCAGCCACGCTTTCAGCCTTGGTTGGGGTTTAAAGGCTATGCAACTAGTTGAACACATTCAGAATGCAATCAAAGACATCATCGAAAAGGTGAGAAGATTCTCATAATGAATTTCAAGCGATTTGGATCGTCATTTGGCTTTTATTTTTCTGCAAACACATGTTATTCTCAGTTCCCAAAGAATATAGTTAAATAATCTTAGTAATAATTATAAGACCGAAGGCTAAAGCTTAAAATGAGGAATATCTTTCGAATGAATCATAAATCGTCTGCCTTTTTCATGCAAAAAAAAAAAAAAAACACAATATTTGCATAGATAATTTAAATCATTTAAATTATAAAGTTTACCTCGATGAAACTATTTTCTACAAATATATTCCAAGCAGAAGTAAAGAACTTGTAAACTAAATCAACTCTGTTCATATTATTTATCTAGTTCGTCTGTTAGTTTTCAACAATTTTGTCCATTAAAAGCGTCTTTTGAAAATTTCTAAATGCTTGCTTTTGCATTTTCTAAGCAGCCCAGGCAATGCCAGCAACAACAATGAACAGATTTCCCAACGTTTTTCATGCTTGGCAAAAATCTGAAATCGAAGTTGCGACAGAAAAAAAATAATAATACAGCACACATTTGTGCAATCTGTGGAGGCGGCAGGCGGCAACAATATCTGGGGGCAGATACATTCTCAGCATGTGAAATTTATCAAATGACGACATGAACATAAGCAACAGCAACAATAAGAACCATCAGCAGCAGCAGAGGCAGGGGCAGAGAACGAGGAAGCAGTGGCAGAAGAAGCAGCAGAGTAACAACAACAGGAAACAAGTTATAAGCATGTAGACAGGCGCAGACGACAGGCGCAAAATTAAGCAGGAAGCGTACAGAAAAAAAAAGTTAAGCAAAAGGATGTGCAAAATAAAAAAAATAAAAAAATAAAATAAAATAAAAATAAAGTTCATGCAGTTTGCGGGCGTGGGTGGGCGTTACAACTAGTAAATGTAGTAAATAAATATAATGCTTTAAATGCGAGGCCGTAGAGCAAAAGTCAGCCAAATATGACAGTGACAAACGATGTTGCACAGCGGAAGGGGCTAAGGCAGCCGAAGGGGTTGACGAGGCGGCAACAAGGCAACAAACCTCCAAACGGATGCAGCCAGCTTAAAGTCATGTGCATAAGCCGGAAGTTGGAATATAAAATAAGCAAGTGCAGGCAGGCAGACAGACAGACAGACAGGACACACACACCAACACACAGGACATAAGCTGCATGATATGGAGAGAGGGGGAGAGAGTGCGCGGAGTAAAGTCAAAAAGATTTGCGACTTTTGGTTGGACATGCGACAAACTTGAGTTTAGCTGCGGCCAGTCCATTCGCACGCCAACAGTGAGTGATTATGAGAATAGGCGACATATTGCAGCAGGCACTGACTACACTCAGCGAAAAAGTCTTGCGAACTGCAAGAAATCTAAACAAAATTCAAATTTATAAAGCTATGGAAACATATAATTTAAAATATATCTCAATTAAGAACAGTTTCACCTTCTTTTTGTCAGATACAAAAATTCTTGCCAATATTGTGAAATAAAGGATTCAGCAGAGCCCAATCAAGCTAGAATTCAGTGCAACTTTTTTCTCCGTGTGTCTGTGTGTGGCAATAAAATCAATAAAACTGAATGCAAGCCAGATGTTATGCTGCCATATAAATTCTATTTGGCTGGGCCATGCCCTTGAGAGCCGAATTGAAACGCGGACAAAACGAAGAAGAAATTGGCAGCAAAAAATTGTTGGCCTGCTGCTTGTTAGCAAACATGTTAGAGGAACGCGGAACGCATAAAGATATATACCCTATATACTGTGTGTTTCGACTTGTGTGTGTATGTGTGTGTGTGTGTGCATGTGCATCAATAGGAAGCACTATAAAAAAAAAGGACGAGCTCGAGCACGAACTGGAGTAGACATGGAGACAAGAACTCGTAACGGATGCGGCATCTTTGCTCAACGGAAGAGGAAAATGCAATATAGGAAATCGTTTTTCGCACACACACACACAAAAGGAGAAAAAAACAGGAAGTTTATTTGTGTGTGGAAAAAGAAGTCACGACAAAAAATTTCTTTATATATAAAGTTTTTTTTTTCAGATTTTGTGGCAGATTTCTGCGGCTTGCAGCGAAATGCAGTGGTGCATAATGTGGGTAGCATATGGATAATAATTCCGACTTAATCAGAAATTATAAGCCAAGACCAGTTAACGAATGAGATGGGAATGAGATGAGAGGGCGAATACCACTAGAACTATATTTTATATACTTTTTTTTTTTTAATATACAAAAAGGAAATGATAGAATTTTATATATCAAGCCCTGAAAGTACTATATAGAGATGCAGGCGATCGCAAGGAATATTTTACATTAATTAATTTATATATTTCATAGAGAACTGAAAGAAGCTAACACTTTATCTTTGCAGTACCGAAGAATAGCTAACCCTAGAGACGAATCTCTTGAAAATCAAAACAAAATAATATATATTTAGCATATCATTTTTTTGAGCGATTTAATATGAATACTAAGCAGATCCCCAACATATTAAATGCTTGCAGCTAATGGACACGTCTCGGCCAGGCCTCATCAAGATACAAGCAATAAAACTGAAAGGCTAGTTGCTGACAATATTAAAGGCTGCAAACATAATTAGCAAACAAAGTTTATCTATATCTATTGATACTAAATTGATAACCCCCACCACTTCTATAGCAAACTAAACTTTGACTTAATTATGTTTAGTTTTGTGACACACACAGACACACGCGCACCTGCCGAAAACTAATATGAGACTAATTATCCCCACATGCACAACTTTCTGGCCACTTTATGAGATCCATGCCAAAACGAAAGAAGAGCAAAACTAGAGTACTTATAGTCCAAAATGCACAGAAGCGTGAAGAGGCTGAGGGGGCAACAGTGTGCGGGGGGGTACGTAAACATGGCAGCTCGCATGTCGCATAACATGCGCAATTTGTTTGAATGTGGACGACTGACGACTACACTCATATGACTGTATGTGTGTGTGTGTAGTTGTTGTTCTGCTTCTTGTTGTGTATGTTTTTGTTGGCCACGAGAGAATTTTTCGGGCAACATCATGAGTCAGCAAACCAAACAAGCCACACACACACACACACACGCACACACAAAAAGTCAGTCAACTGCTAAAATATATACACACATATATCACGTATATATAGATATAGATATATAGTTGGCATGACTAGCTCTTGGCGAATGCCGCCGCGTGGTCCCCACCAGACGCTAAGCCAGCTCCCCCAACCGCCGGCAAACCGCGCTCTCTTCAACCAGCCTGACGACTGTTGCTTATGTAACCGGAAATATGGCAAAAAGTGCAACGCCAAAACATTTTCCGTTGCATTTTCCCCAAGCGGCAGCAGCAGCAGCAGCAGCCGCATCAGCATCAGCATCAGCGTCGTCATCGTCTTCGTGTCTGCCACTGCCACTCGCTGCTAAGCAGATAGCTGAGGCAACCCCTCTGCCTAGCTATATGCCAATGCAACTTTAATGTTATGTGTGCCACAATTCGCTGTTGGCGCTGCAGTTGATCTGAGTGTGCATGTGTTTGCGCGCGCGTGTGTGTGTGTGTGTGTGTGAGTGTATGTGTGCCCGGGGTGGTGTCGGACACATTGCAATATTTTCTGATATCGACATTCACGTCTGACTAATGGAATTGTGTGTCAAGTGTGTAATATTTACACTGTGTCAAAAGCTGATAAAAATTTAAGCTGCAGCAAAATGCCGTTCACATAAATTCGCATTAGTTTCCCAAAAGCACGAGTGTGTGTGAGCATGGTTGGGCGTGAGAGTGTGAGCATGTGTGTGTGTGTGTGTGTGTGGAGATGGAAAATGTATAAGATGATTGATCCTATTGATTTTCCTTATCTGCTCTGCTGCTTGAAATTGAAAAAGCGAATAAGGATTTGTATCAGCAACAGCCTTAAAGCTCGTTTTGCCAATCGAAATTCAGAGAGTCAGAGAACTGAAAAGGAGGCATATTTTCTTGTTTGGTTCTTTGTTTTTGGTTCTTGTTGCTGATGCTTCTGGTTTTGAGCCCAATTTGGGTCTTGTGCAACGTGATTTAACTAGGCATGCACATATGTAAGCAGCCTATCACAGTCTGTGCTAATTCTGAATAGCTTTGATTATTCTACACAATTTTGAATGCACTCTGAATCGGACAAAAAATTCACTTTACTGAGAAAATGAAAAAAAAAATAGACCTAAGACCAGGTACAACAGTTTAGACTGCAGTTTTGATAACCATTAGTTCTTATATTCCGAATCGCTTTCTAGCATTCGAATCCCTTCTCCATTATCTTATTTCAACTATTCTACAGATTCTTGTAATATATTTAAAAATTATAGCAATATTAATTGATTGCTGTATTATTTGTCTTCATCTTTATTCCTTACACTATTTTCATTTTATTTAATTTCTAATTCTTGTATTTTCTAATTATTGTTCTAGAGCTCCCATTGCACTATCTAATCTTTCTCTTGCGCAGAAATCTAATATTTTTCATTGACATATTTTAGTATATTAGTATTTAATGTTTTTTTCTTTCTTTGCTTTAATCGTTCCTTTTTTATGTTCCCATTTCTTACTACCCATATCCCCCTGTTAATTCTTGCTGCCCTTAATAACTTTTTGATAAATGATGCTGCAAACACATAGTAGTAGCTACATCTGTGGATGTGTACGTTTATAGAAACATTAGTTACATAACAGCCAGCTTTTTGCTCGCCACAGAGACAGAGAGAGAGAGAGAGAGACACAGTTTTCCCAGTGGTGCCTAACACACACACACACACACACATATATACACTAATGAAAGATTAATCCAGCAGCAAATAACTAAGTAGATTGACAACCAAACGGGCTGCATGACAGGGCGCGCAAAGGCAGCGCACAAAACCGCAAAATGGATGCGAATGCGAATGACGCTGACAGCGATGAGCGGGTTAATGCATTTGATGTTGCAACACCAGCAGCAGTTGCAGCTGCAGCAGTGGCAGTGGCAGCAAAAACGGCAACATTTAGTTTTATGTAATGCAAGCGAGCGAACGAGCGACTGACTGACTGACTGACCGTGGAACTGACGAACTGACTGACTGACAGAACCGCAGTCAGACATTTTAGAGCATTTATCAAAATGTCTGGCGTTTAGACATTTCTATTTGTGCGCAGCGCAGCGGGTGCAGCAACCACACCCCAATGGACCCAATGCATATGCCTTCCCCACCCACTCCCAAGTATTTCAGCCTAATACCCTCCTCCCCCCATCCCCCTGTTTTCCCCACACTCACCTTCAATCTGCTTGCCCGCAGCTGCGGCCGCAGCGGCGCTCAGCGCAACGCTGGCTAACGGTGAGGTGGACAGTGCGGTGGTGCTTCCAAATTGCGGTAAGCCAGCGGCTGTTGACATATACGCCGATGCCAATGGATTCGGATCGGACCCTGGAACAAAAAAGAAGAACATAGATGAGTTATATATATGAGAGAATAGGGTTGCGTGTTTGAATTAAGTTAGCGTTCTACCAAAGTAAATTACAATTTTGGAAAACCAAAAATTACATAACGTAATTAAAATCGCGACGATTTCGATATATGAAGCCGCGAGAGTGTGTTTATGTCTGATTAAGCCAGATTTAGCTTAGTATCTCAGCATGAGTTGGATATTTATATTATTGCTGTTAAAGTTCATGTTAAGCTGCAAGTCGGTTGCTCCACCTCTTGTCAAAGAATATCTGTGTGAAAAAAGGTGGCAACGCCTTGGGGCGTGTGTGAAGTGGCAGCACTACAATTCATGTGTTTGACAGTTTGATTAACCATCTTCATACGAACTAGTTCTCAATTCACATATTTAAACTAAAATTTATGTTCAGCTTATTATTGTTACCTACAATTAGCAGTGAATCTTATACATTGATTTAATGAACTAGTTTTAGTTTTACTAAGCTTAATGTCGAAACAAACTTGATCGTTTTACTTCCTTACTTCAAGCAACTAAGCTTTAATACATAATTTTTCGTTTTTAGTTAATGGATTTTCTACCATTCTACCAATGATGCAATTAACTAGTTTGAACCTGTTTAAATTGTTTAATTAACATCCTAAATAAGTGTACAAATTAAACAGATTTGTTCAAAAGTGTTTGTTCTGACCAGTTACACAACTTAATTGCATAAACGTACATTAAATTTAATGAACCAGTTCATTTGAACTTTTTGCTACTTCATGTATTACCCTTTAAGATAATTTTATTTGCCATCAAATTAAGTAACTCTTGTCATATTTACAAGCAACTCTTATGCTTTCAAGATAGTTTTTCAGCTCACAAAGTTCACCAGAGTTCGTGCTGCCCTAACAATTGCCTTTCTCGTTGTCAGTTGACCAATTTGTAACTCATTTAACACATCAGCCATATACTAAATTACATTAATATTTAGTTTTGAGCTGCAGCTTTTCACCCACCACCCAAATGTCAGACGTAATTAATCATCGAAGCTAACACGCCACGAGGGCGACATTTGATTACATTTAACACAGCAAACAATATTTACAATTATTTTTATGTACATATATATACGATTATATATAAATCTAAAATTAATTTGTTGCTCATACGCCATGTGGCACTTGTCTCTCTGGCTGCTTGTGTGCGTGTGTTTTGTGTAATTTGACGCCTGTTGTTTGTTATTTAGTTGTTTTGCGCTGCCCGCCGTCATGCAATGAAATTTTGTGGTTTGCAGTTCAGTTCAAGCCGCCATGCCAATGCGCGACCCCCTCTGACAGCCGGCCAGCACCCTGCCTCCCTCAGCTGTTCGTGCTGCTTTTTATTAATGAGTTTTGCAACTGTACGACTGAGTGTGTTTGTATGTGCTGGTGTGTGTGCGTGTGTGTGTGTGTGTGCGGTCGCTGCATGTTGACAATGAGCGTCCAGTGCATTTGATAACTAATTTGGCTAATAACAAGTTATGATGTCAGCTCGCCACGGCGACTTTTGACTATCGAGAGCTCGAGAGCGACAGCAAGAGAGAGAGCGAGAGGGAGAGCGAGAGCGAACGCGAGTCAAAAACTTTGCATTTTCGGCCAAGTTAAAATTATTTCTATGCCATATAAACTTATACGAAAAGTTCTTCAAAGAACTGAACTCAACTGTTCTTGCCATACACACAATCGCACTCACACACAAACACACACACACACACACACTTATGCGCGAACTGCCAAACTTTTGTGAGATTTTACAGATTTAATTTCAAAAGTTTTTACCCATGTGCTGCAGCAGCACCTCCTACACTCATACACTCCAAGGTGTTGCAATCAATTTTTGGGGGTGGCAACATTTTTAATTTAACAGCTTGCAAAGTGAAGAGCAGACTCTTGGCAACTTCAGAAGGTGTGTGCGTGTGTGTGTGTGTGTGGGGCAACCAAAAACAATACAGGTAAGAAAGTAGCTATTAAAACTAACCGAATACTGGATGCTCTTTCGATAGTTTTTAGTCAATAGTTAACTGTAAGTCAATAGTTAACTGTGACTTTCAAACTGTGTCCGTCTAAATGTGGATAATATCTAACTAAAAACACACATGACTGTTCCCATAAAATCTATATATACGTATGTATATATTTATTGAAGAAAAAGATGCATCCATATAATCCCAACATATTCCCGGAAATGATCATATTGGCCTTTCTGAAAAAGGGTATACAACAAAAACAAAAACAAAAAACAATATAAAAATAAACATATGTAAAGGAAAAGCTAAAAGGTAACTGTAACTTCAAAGAAGTTTTGCATATTTGCCAAGAAATTGAAGAAATTGTTTTAATTGTTTGTTGATGCTCTCCCACCCCCATTTTATGAAGGCTGGCGCGAAGTGAAGGGGGCAGGGGGTTTGTCAGCTAAGGCAAACTGCAAAAAGTAAGCAAAATGTATGCAACATGTTATAGCTAAAGGCTAACACTGAGCTTTGGCCAGGCCAATAATAACAAAGCAGACGCAACAAATACACACACACACACACACACAGAGCCTGCGACTATTTGGTACTTTTGTGTGTCTGTTGTAGCTGGTATTTAATGTCCTGCCCTGCCCATTTAATCCCCTACGTAACGCCGACTATGGCCCAAGTGGCATTCGACTTTTTAGCTGGCAAATTTGTGCAAAATTTGAGGCAAGTTTTGTATATTTTTCTATTGTTTTGCTGTTGTTGCTTTTTGCCCAAGACTTTGCCACTTGCAGGCACTTGAAGACTTTTGCCAGTTGTTGCTGTTGCTGTTGCTGTTGATTTTGAAGTGCAAAGAGCGAAAAAGCGTATAAACAAACGTAATAGAGAGCCATGTTGAAAACAGAGTTGAAAACGTGTTAGCTAAAGGCGGAGTGGGTGAGGGGCGAGAGTCGAGGGTGGAAAAAAACCAAACTATAGCCCGGGTTTATAAACTACATAGTTTACAGCACTTTACGAAACTTTGATTAAGATTTTCGTTTGTTGCTTCTCTTTTGATTTTGTTTTCTGTTTTTATTTTTATTTTTTGTTTCTATTTCGTTGAGCAAAAAAAAAGAAGAAGATAGAAAAGTTTTGAATTGGATGTGCTCGAAATTGTAGCGGGTTTTTGTTAGATTCTTTTGTTTCCATAGTTGGTTGGGGCTTGGAAAATGGTTAACAAAGACCAGCGCGAATGCTAGAGTTGAAAAGGTTGCCGCAGCATAAAGAACGGATTAGGCTTTACTATCAACAGTTGAATGCAATTGCAAACATAATAAAAAAAAACAGGCAACCTTGAGCTGTTTAATCGCGTCAAAAAAATACTACACTTCCGATTTTTCATCTAAAATTCTTAAAAATACCTATCAAATTTCACTCTTCTCGACAAATTCACAGACTACGGTGAAAGTGATACTATTTTCATATTGCCAGGCGTTTCTTGAAAAAAAAAGACAAGAACTATTTCTCTTTGATCTGTTTATTTATATGAAGTGCTTGATACTAATATTTGAAGATAAATAAATAGTTTTATTAGAGGCGTGTTTCGTGCTTTTCCACAAATTCACCGTCAACGGTGGAAAAGTGAATAATTTGTTATATTTTATGAAAAATACTTCACGCACGGGTGGAAATTGCCGTATTGCTCAAACATATATACATTTTTAAAAATCTAGTAATGCAAACGTACATTGCCTCCTTCACAATTGATTTTTCAGCTGCCGCAATGTAATACAAATTATTATTTCCACATAATCAATTGGATTCAGCTTGAAAATTCTACTATTATCCACAGAGTTATCGATAGTTTACCAATTCCAATAAAACCGCTCGTGAATGTTATCTTCCAATTACACAAAACTTCAAATGCCAATCTACACATTTTTGGATGCTATCGAACTATTGCCCGACAATTTACAATACCAATTTTCACGCACGCACAGACACTGGCAACAATTATGAGCCAATCTGTGCGCACATATTGATATTTTGCAACGGATTTTGCGCTGCGTTTGCCATAAACAATTTGCAGCAAACAAAAGCCTCGGGCGCAATTTGTTGGGCCATTTTATTACAACAACAAACAGTTACAATAGAGACTAGAAACAACAACAATAATATGAACTGCAATAGTGATTTGGTTGCTGAGTTTATGTCGCAGTTGGTCGAAAGCAAAACAAAAATTGACCAGAAAAGCAAATGGGCACAAAAAGCCTGCAAATTTTCTTGTACATTTATTCGTTCATTTATGGGCAGGGCAATACTAGAATCAGGCGCATCCCCGTTGTGGGTTTCAAGAAACGTGAACTTAAGATTTTCGACTCGACAAGAATTTTTAATATTTCATTAAATTAAGTGCCCCGGAAATCGTTCAAGTGGCACATGATGAGCACGCACAGCTGCACAGGCGGCCGGGAAGGGGCATGACAAACTAGAGAGACAACAAGACAGAGGCGTGGCAGGGCCAGAGAGCACAATGTATTTGTAGTTTAGGCAGACACGAAAAATCCGCTTAAATGTCTCCAGCTATTCTTGGTTTCTTTCGTTTTTGTTTTGTGTTGTTTGTTGTTTTTGGCATTTCTCTGGTTAAGTCAGGCACTTTTTTTCACGGTTCGTAGCTGCTCATGAAATTAACTTGGTAATGCGCAGCTTAGCCAGCAAATACGCCTGGCCGAAAGTCGGAGGAAGGTTGCGTTGAGTTGGTGTCCTTTCGGGGTTTTGTTGTGCTTAAAATTTAACAATAGCTGCGCTAGGCAGCTTCTTAACGCAAGAGCTGAGCCGAAAAGTGGCCAGGGCCAACTTGGTAGAGAACGAGAAAATGGCTAATGACATTTCCGAGTTCAGAGATGCAAGTGTCTTGAGCCCTAAGCAATTCAGCAAGTAGTGGGACGCCGGATAAGCTGCTAGTGCTGCATGACTTTGTTATCGATAACAATCGATCACCTGTTCAATGCATATTAACTACTATATTATATATATTATATAAGCGAAAAGCTATTAAAAATGATCGATAAAACGTTCGATAACAAGATTTGTAGAATTGACCTACCGATTTTTTTTACCGATCTAATATGACCGCGTTGGGAACACTTCTAAATATGTGTATCTCTGGAATCTATCGATATAATTGATATCAACTAATCAAACAATAGAAAGCAGAATGAAATGCTTATAGCATTAATTTGGGATTGCCTATGATTGAAATAAAGTATATAAATCTTCCCTACTGTTGGAAAGTATCGATATTTTTATGGAATGTCGGTATACTATATTGCCAAAAGCAAGCCAAGCAAGCATATACAATTTTTATTTATAAACTGAGCTACAGATAGATTTTATAACCTTTCAACTCTCAACAAGTACTGCACTTTATTGATTTCTATCTGGCTAGGCTTGCTTTTTAAGAACTGCATTTTTCTTGGCCATATTTTCATCCAGCCTATTGAAAAATGCCGAACATTGGGCCATATTTCTTTTGCAACTTGTATTGCAGCCACATTCATTTTTATTGCTGCCGTGTAGCGGGAGATGCTACTTTATGTCTGTGGGTCTGTCGGTCTGGTCTACTACTCTTGTAAGCCTGTGCCACGTGACAGTTGGTAAATTCTCAACCGGGGGAACACAACTGCATGTGAAGCTGAAGCATTGCAGTTTGGCCCCAGAGCGAAACGCGGCTAAAAGTCAATGAGGCCAAAGTTTCTGCCATCCGACTCTACACTCTTTCATGTCCTGTTTGCCTGCTCTTGTTGTTGCTGCTGCTGCTGCTTCTGCTTCTTCTGCTACTCTGTTGCAATAAGTTCCGTGTTGTTAATTTCTGAAGAGAGTGTAACTTGTAATTTTGTACGCTCCACGTTCTACGGCTTCGCTTAACTGTTGCAGCAACTGCTACAGCTACTGCTACAGCTACTGCTGCTGCTTTACGGCCATCAACTTTGGCGCGTGACGTAAACGACGACGTAAAGCAGGAGCCACGTGAGCGTTACATAGCGTAAGCGACGCTTCGTTTGCTTTAAATGTCAAGTAAAATAACCATTATTAATATGATTTTTATATTCACTCCCTTTTTTTTTTTTGCATAACAACCAAATAAAATAAAAACGTGAAGCAAAAAATTGTCAAAATTGACAAACGAAAGTAGAAAGCGGAAAGGAAGTCTGTCAAAACCAGGCATACAAAAATATCCATATCAACAAAAATTAACGACTTTCAGTTGTTGTTTCTTTTTTTTTCTTGATGATGATGATAAACTCTGCTCACCTGTGACTTTGGCAACCGCCTTTTTTTTTATCAGACCTGGTGTACAAAACAATTATAACAATATATCCAAATATAAGTTGGTAAGCATTTGAATAAATGGGAGAGAAAATATGGTTAGCTTAAGTTGAGTTATTCTTATATCTAAGCTGTTTTTGATTACATAATTAAATTAAAATCAGGCCCGTTCCTGCGGCATAAGTTGGACTATTTTCTGTCTTTCGATATGAATGCATTTTCCTTAAGGAAGATTGACAGCCAGAGCTTGATGCATTTAAATATAGAAAACTTTCCAACTGGCAACTATTCGATTTGCTTTGATTTGGTTAACTAAGCTAATTTTTATTTAATTCAAATATAGATTTTTTTTGATTTCATAGAAAATCATTTAAATTCAATAAAAGTTTAATAGTTTTTAAGCCGAATATATAATACATGGAAAATAACTGAAATTTTAAACATTTATATGCATAACTATAAATTAAAGTCTTCTGAATTCCTAAAGAATCCTTTAAATAAATATAAGCTGCTTAAAAACAAATATATGAAAGATACATGAAACCTTACACCAAAATCCCAGGTACCTCACCTCCTATAGCTTCAAAAGCCTTAACTAATTTGCCAGTCATTAGAATCTATTACCAAGGCAACACCATGCAATGGATGGAAAGGGAAAGGGATAAAAGCAAAGGGGCACTTCGCAAATTAGGGGCGAGTGGCGATGAAAATAATTAGAAATCGATAAGCAGCCGCATCAAACTGAAACACAACTGTTGGAAGCTGGCAAAAAGAGTGGACAGAAGAAGGCTTTAAATGGAAATATTTCCGAATAAAATTTTATTTGGCAGCTGTCAAAAGCCTGACACAGATCCATTTTGTGAGTGGGGTGTGATGACGGGCACAAAAATGGAAATTAGTTGATTAGCGGGTAAAATGGATGAAGCATTTCTCACTGCTTTGGTTTTTTTTTTTGGCATGGGTACAGCTGTTATTCAATAAAAAAAATGTATGTATTGTAAATTTAGTTACTTACATAAAAGTGCCGCCGTATTGGTCAACTGTGCACTGCCCGGCGATGTGGCTGCATTGGTCAGACTCGGCTGGGTCATGGCGGCAATGGCTGCCAAATTTTGTACGGCTAGAGGATTCAACAGACCAGCTGCGGCGCTTGTTGTGTCCTGTGACGAATTGTTTTGCTGGGCGGAACCTAAGCCTGTGAGCGCTGTTAAAATAAAAAGAAATAAATATTAGATTTGGTATATAAATAGGATAAATAATATAAATATATATAAACAATTTTTAATTCTAATATTGGCGATCTATCCATATTTTAAATCTTTATCTGTGCCACATAACTATATTTCCCTTTTAAGTCACCTTTAGTCACCTGTTTTTAGTCACCTTTAGCCTTAAGCAAATATAGCTGCCCAAAAAGAGACGAACCTTCAACTGACGCAAACCAGATTGCAAATTGAATTGGATAAAAAAAAACAAAGAGCCTATGCTGAGCCTAAAATCTATCAGAAAATAGAGCCCTAAGCTTCCTTTGCAGCTACATTGATTTCTATGGATATATGTGAACAGATATTTACCTTGAAGCAGCTGTTGCTGCAGTCCAACTGTTTGGAGCTGCTGTAGCAACTGAATGCTGGCGGGCGTCAACGCATCGGCGCCCATCACCGGCGACGGCTGTTGCGGTGGGTTTGGCAGTATCGGTGTGGATACAGTGGTCGGCGTCTGGCCTAGCGGTATGTTAATATTGGTCGCCAGATTCCATAGATTCGCCTGAATTTGCTGTATCTTCTTCTGTTCCTTCTCCTTTTGCGTATCGGCAAATTTAACAACCAGCGGCGATGTGCAGCCCTCCATTATTTTGTTCTGACTCAGGGTCTGAAAAGCGTATTGCCCATATTATGATTTGTATTTATATTATATGTTTATAAAAGCCAGCCACTTACCACTTTAATGGCCGAGATGGCAGCGTGTTTGGTGGCAAAGGTAACAAAGGCACAACCCTTGCTCTGGCCGTTCTGATCGCGCAGCACAGTGCACTCCTCGATGGCGCCGTGAACTTCAAATAATTTACGCACGTCGTTCTCGTTCAGCTTCTTATTTAGCATGCCCACGAACAGTTTGCGTTCTGCAAAGGTAGAAGGCGACCAAAATATGTATATTAATAAATTTTATTTAATAAATTCTAAAATTTTAAATGCGCAACTAGCCAAAGGTTAACCCATGACCAAAAGATCAAAATCTCTTGAAAGTATTGAAAAAAAAATTCTTTGATTCATTTTAAATAGTGTTCATCTTCAGATCAAACCTGGTCTAAAGGTTATCAATCATGAAAATCGGTCCAGATTTGTCAAAGTTATGAAAATTCGAAATTTAGAATAGTCATAAATTCGAAGTTTCAAATATCGAAATTTTGAAAATATATTTTTTTGTTTTTTGTAATTTTGTTTATTTTAAGCAGATTTTTAAAATCGAGTATTCCAATCGAATCTGTTTTGAGAAAGTTACGAGAATAAATTACAAGGCAGTTCAACAAAAAGCATATTTGATTTCAAATAAAATGAAATTAAGATTAATTTTGTAATTTTATCAAGTGTATATCAATATAGTTGCACATGGCAGTTGTCACAATTATGTTGGCATTGCATTAGTTTTGACCTTGGTAACTTAATCGCAGCATGAAGAAAACGCCATGCGGAAGCGCCAGCCGCAAGCAGCCTTCAAACGAGCACACACCGAGAAGGTGTAATTGAAAACCTCAGTTCAAGTCAATGTCTGAGACCGCGAAACTATCAGATGACAAGGTTTCGCGTTTTGACATTGCCCCAGCAGTTGCTTAACCTAGTTTGCAATGGGCCTGTGAACCGACTAGAGATGCCGCACAGCCCACCTGGCCCAGAGCCAGAGCCAGAGCCAGACCAGGTGTTGCGCAGCAACTGAACAACTGAACAATGCTCAATTAATTTGGCATAAATTGAAATTCGTTTGCACTGTTTTAAGCACCTTGCTAAACTAATTTGTTGCACATTTAACATGGCGCCAAATATTTGCAAAGGCCACACATAATGTGGGCGTGTTCAGCACCTCACACACACACACACGCATACGCACAAAATTGTCAGCTAATTTATTTGCACAAAGCAACTCGAGCGCGCAACTGGCCAAATTAATTGTTATCAAATATGCAATTGGCTGGGACGATTTGTTGCAGCAATTGCCGCAGCTGTAGTAACAGTTGTTGCAGTAAAAGTTTGCTGCTGCTGCAGCTTTTTATAGCTGCTGCTAAATAATGCATTTGGTCTAAATGCAGTTCATTAAAATGCAATTTTTTCACGCTCGAATGTTAGGGAAACAAACCAGCATTAAAGTTAACAACAAATTAGTTGTTTGCCAAAAAGAGTAAACCTTTTGTCGGACCAGATAAAAGCATTTGAAGTGCGGATGTAATGTTTAAAGAAGCGTATTAAATGGAATGATAAATTTATTTTTGGGTAGTTAAAGAGTGTGTATTCCCTTCTGAAAAAATACTAAATGGTATGTATGTACGATATGTTAGAACGAATTTGAGTAGTAGTAAAAAGTAGTATACAATAAACTGAGGTTCGGCTAACGAGTTCTTAGCTGAAGGGCCAAAAGACAGTGCTAGTCTTTTAGCCATATCTGATTCTTTTACTAAAAATAATAATAATCGAAATAATGATAAAAAGTAGTATACCATGACGTTAGGTTTTAATGTTATTTATTTGACTCCGGGAGAGATTCTACTCATAAATTAATGATTGAATAGTCTTGTGCGACTTTACTTGAAAATGTTAATTATGTTAAAGAGGTTTTATTACACAAATCTGATTACTATGTCGACAGATTTGCTTGGAGAACCGATATCTGATCCAGTTCCATACCTGATTGTCTAATATGATTTCCTCGAGCGTTGCATGTTGGGCCTCATAATTATAAAACCCTCCTGTGCTACCACATATATAAATTCTTTAACGTTTTTGCTTTTAGTGATAAGCACCTCTGTGGCAATTGCAATTATTTTTGTACGCTGGCAGCAAATTTTCAATTGTTACCCATTACAATTATTTTAACGCTTGAATGGAGCAGAGCAAATTTTAGGCAATGCGAAAATTCTATTTTATTGTTTATAATTGCCGCAGAGAAAAATTATGATTATTATTATAATTATGTAATGGTTGTTATTGTAACCGAAATATGTTTTGGAAATCAATTAAAATTATAATTAAGCTGTTTATAGAAAATATTGACTTTAGCACTCGCAACTCTCCCGCAGATTCCGCGAGGTGGGAGAACGGCGCGCTTTTATTTAAACATCTCATCGCCATCAGCATTAAAATAGATATTCAGTAACAATTTAAGCACCACAAAAGCTATGCAATTGTGAAATACATTTGTACTTCAGCGTAATGGCAAAATTATAATGAGGTAAGCTCCATTTCGTATCAGTGAGCGATAGATAGACAGAGGGGCGCACTGCGGTGCTTGCCAGACTCTACCAGTAATACGTGCTGCAATGCAACAGCATCTACTGCATCAACTATAAAGCCCCTACCGTGCCCCACTCTCTTGTTGCAATTCCTTTGCCACTTGCTAGTCGAATTGCCATTGGCATTGCCATTTCAAGAGCTGCATCGTCATCGTTATCAAATGCAAACCGCCGACACAGCGTGGCGGCGCCACCGGCAGCCGCCCCACTTGCATTATTATTATGATTATTGCAGCTGCAATGGCAAAAGCTAACTGCACTTGAGCTATATTATCATAATCCCAGTTGTAGCCAACAGCAACAACAACAACAACAACAACAACAACAAAAACAACATTCAGCAGAAAACATTTAAAATTCATTGAATTTGATGCGTGTCGATCCCGTTTGGATGGTGTGTTGTGACTGAGACTGAGCCACAAATACAACTCCCACGCCACACGCACATTTTGTTGCAATCAAAAAAATTTGCTGTGGCAATGACTTTGCGGTAGTTACAGTAAATATCTGAAAGTAATGGCGTTGGCAATTTACAGGCTAAGCTGAAGTATTTTAAATTTATATCTAGAGATATGTTCTCTGATAATTTCGGGATCAATATAAGGATCAGGGGTAATGCTTTAATATTGAGAAAGGAATCTTCAAGAAGAATATGTACTTTGTACTTAATCGAAGACTTTCATAACCGACCAATTCCTACTTTTTCAATTTCCCAATTTAATATAATATATATATAATAAATATTTATGATATATATATTTCTCTCAAGGCATACAAAAGTTAACCTATTTGGTTATTTGAAGACTGCATTTCTATTAACATTTTCCAGGCAATCCTAACAAGAGCGTTGACTGCATTCAACCACTTCAAGCTCAACCCTTAACTCTTATTTCCCAAGTCTCATTTCTTTGCTAAAGCCAAGTTTCCAAGTGCAATTTAATTTCATATTTAATGCTTGGAAAATAGTTCACTTCAACTTTAAGCCTGTCGTTCGACGCCTGTGCGCCACCTTCGAGCATCTTTTTCGTTTCTATTTTAAATATTAATATTACCATGGGCCATGGCCGGTGTGTGGCCCGGCCCAGACCGTCCGGGTCCAAGACTCGGGAACACCCTTAATGCAACTAATCTGCTTCTAGTGGCGCACATTAAGTGTTGCCACGCTTTCGACTTTAATTTGAAAACATAAAGCATGACGCTGCAGGTGCAGCAACAGCAGCAGCGGCAGCGTCTAAAGTGCGGCCACTTGTGCAGCTGCAATACACACACACACACTCTCACTAAAAACACACAGAAGCAGCCATTTTTTTTTTCTTGCAGCCATTTTACATGCAACTCAACTAACCAAGCGACCACTCAAACCAAACAAAAACCCAACCGAACCGTAGAAAACCCAAACGCAATGCGCGCCCTGCCCTGACATCGACTCAGATGTTGCTGCTGCTGCTGATGATGATGATGATGTTGATGATGATGCTGATGATGATGATGATGGTGATACAGTGATATCGGCGAATAGTTTAATGAAAAATACTCAGCTTTCTTTTTGAGGTTTTCTTCTCATTAAGGTAATAATAAAAATCAAACTCTAGAAATCTTCTCTTCTGTCGTATGCAGATTTTTTAAAGATTTTGAGTCACGTTAGAAGTAGAAAAATTAAATTGTTACCACTGTGCGACAGGTGCGACTCTATTCGCATTTGTTGATTTCGTATGTAAGCGGGTCATATTTGCCGCCATCGCACACAGACCGGGCTGTACCCGTGCTCAGTGGTCCCGGGTATTTGACGGGGAACCGGAACCGGGGCTTAGCTTATTTATGTCACAAATATGAGCAGCGAGCTGCGAGTGAGCGAGCGAGTAAGCGTGTCGTACGCAATGCCACGGCTGGTTAGCCTCGGCTTGGCTGGGTTTTTGCCTCCGGTTGGATGACTCCGGGCTGATGCTGAGGGTGGGTGTGGCTGGGCTTGCCCGGGGTTTGGGGCTGCCGAATGGTTGCCCTGGCTGGTCGGCCACTTTGCATGCATCGCTGCGTGTTTGGCATATTTAACAAATTTTCACAAAAATAATGTAGCGCCCAGTGTGCCAGCTCTCGGCTTCATGTCCTTGTTGTTGTTGTTGTGGCTGCGGTTTTCATTTCACACATATGGAGCAGGAGCAGAAGCAGAGGCAGAAGCAGAGGCAGCAGCAGGAACAGCGGCAGGTAGAACAACTGGTTAGCTGGCTAAAATCTAATCAAGCGCTGCGGCCGGCAGCCCAGCAGCAAACTTATCAATAAGCCACACACACTCGGCGACCTGTGAAACGCCCTCGACCAAAAAATATATCACCTTGCCACCTAATGAAATTTCAGCGCTTCGGTTTGCATTATTAAATTTAATTTTGGAACAAGCGAACGCCGCGCTCTTCTCATAGAAATTATGGCAAAAATTCGTATTCTCATTTCATTTTGCTGGTTTTTTTTTTCATTTTTCTTCTTTGTGTATATAAAAATTTAAATTTTAATCGCAAGCAGCACAAAAAGGAATTTTTTTTATTGGATTCAGCTTGAAGTGTGCACTTGATAAGCAGCGCGCAAGTCTTGGAGAGGGAAGGCGAACGGAGCTGTGTTCAAGTGTGCCG